ATCATTCAAGAGAGCAAGCAATTTCTGCACTTGTTGCTGAGATAGATTGACCTGAGATAGACCTGATGACTGTCATAGTGGCTCCTTCTGCTCTTCAATCACATAGTTAACCCCATCATTCCTGCCTTTGGTGAATTTGAAATTAGGTGGAAATCCAATGAGTTTGAAGCACTTGTCCCTCTTATGTCCTCGTTTTTCACAATAGAGCGGATAATATCAGATTTTCCTTTCTTTATTGCCATAGCTGCTGACAGATCAGTAAAAATTTTGTTGTTGAGTGAGATATAACCTCTGTGATTCTTCCCTCAGAACAAGGTTGTAAACTTGATCTAAATTGGGAAAATGTTTCATCAGGATGATTTGTGACCTTAAACCTTGATACATTTCATTCAAGCCATTTATAAACTTGAACACCAAATCCTTTTGATGAGAATCGATGAATTGTTAAAAAACATTCATTATTGCACTTTCCACATTTGCAATAGGGTAATGGTCTAAATGTCCTCAATTCCTCCCATACGGCTGTTAATTCAGTGAAATAGGCATCAACATATTTTGTACCTTGAGAAATATTACTGAGTTGATACTGGAGATTACAGATCTTCGAATCATCAGGCTGAGAAAAACGCTGCTGCAATTTATCCCAGATCTCACTTGCATCATTAAGATAAAAAATAGTCGAGGCGATTGGTTGTGAAATCGATCTCAGTAGCCAAGTCACAATGAGGTTGTTGCATCTGGTCCATGGCAGATAAGCTGGATCCGTTATCCTGAAAACCTTGTTTATTTCTGATGGATACTGCGATCAGGAATGATCTTCTCCATGTCGCATAATTTGTTGCTGTTAATTCGGGAGTAACAGCAGCATATCCATGATTTTCAGAATGATGGAGATAGTAAGGTAATGATGAGTCCTCGTTGAGGTTACGAAATGTTCCTTGGAAATCCGCCATTGATGAAGAAAGATGAGAAGAAAAATGAGAAGAATGAGAAAAATGATTGATGAAGAACCTATGTCTCGATACCATGTTGAATTGAAATGAAGACAATTGGAGAAAATATCTGAATTCTCGTTCAATTGATAATGCCGTACTCCACGTACATATTTATATATAGTGGTAAATATCCTAATTGTACAGAATGAAGGGAAATAACATAACTAATAATTCAACAGAATTTCAATTGGTATTCTTCTCTTCCAGCTGGCCCTCTTCTTTGCTGGATGAATCTTGACAGGCCTTACTTTGCCAAGAAGTCACTCGAGCCTCCTTCTTGATCCACTTTAAAGCACTAGTGATAGAAGTCATCGCTCTTCTAATACCCATCCAATCCTTGATATTCTTCCAAACAAGGAACATTGGAAAAATAAATGATGGTTAGTAACTTAGTTTCCTCATTGCACAAAAAACACAAGTAGGATCAATATTAAGATATGGTAACCTGTCATTGGTAAGCAACTTTGATAGCGTCTCCAACCAAAGAATGAAAGAGTGCTTAGGTGTGATGTACGGTATCCACACTTCATTAGTCCAGCATTTCTTAACACCATCTTGTCTAAAGAAATCATAAGCCCTGCACACGCTGTCCTCTCTGTTTTTGTCCATCAGTGACTTGTCTATGCTTTGTAATCACAAATTTAGCGACAAATATGAAAAACTCACCAAGTTTTAGTTATAAAAAAAATTACCAGAAAAAATGAAATGAAACTAGCCGGAAAATCAAGATTCACTCTACCCTCTGGCGAAACCATAGATATAAAACTCAGACTCTATATGAAAACTCACCAAGTTGATAGGGAAGGAAGTACTGTATTTGTTACACAAGAATTGATGCCAAATTCTATTTCTAAATTTCATTGGAATCTGAGAAGAATAATTCCTTATTTAGGCAAATCCACATATTTTAGAAGATAACTCCCCCAATCTTCTTTATGTGTGCCACATTTGGGGCAGAATCATTTTTTGAAGGATGGATCACGAAATCCCCAACTTCAAATCCATACCAAATAATACAGATTCAATTATTCAAATCACCCATACATAAATTTTATTACAATGCTAATTTGACAAGAAGAGAAGAAAAATCCACTAAGCATTAAGGCAAAATAGCACAGTATGGTGAGAAGCTTCTGCAAAATTTTTTAAACTTTTTGGATTTGAGTGAGATTGTTTGTATTGTTGTTTTGGATTTGCGTACGGAGGTGTGGCGATTTGCAGTGGCGACAGTGCGGCATTGTGTGGTGGGTGGAGCGGTGACTGATTTTCTTAAAAGGTTGAACCCCAACCGGGATTTGGAGGGAGAAGATGAACCNNGGGATTTGGAGGGAGAAGATGAACCATTCATTTTTATTTTTATTTTATTATTTAAAAGTTTTTAGGGAAGAAAATGTAATTCGACTATTTTACCCCTCAATTTGTCATTTTGAATCAAACATTTAATTTAAGGATTGACTTAAGGTTAAGTGGATAGAATCCGTCAAATGAACTTTGATTGCAATGAAAGTTAAAGGTTTGGAATTGCGATCACAAAAATAAAAGGTTAAAGTGTTATTACACAGCAAAAATAAAGGTTTGGGACCTTCACTATAATTTTCCTTATTTATATAAAGCTACCTTTTATTTTCTGAACTGGGATTAGTCAAAGAATTTGAAGTGAAATGCTTTTTTAAATGTCACATGATGACTTAATAAAAATTTAATAGTTTTTGTCATTAGAATTTTTTTAAATCATGTATATAATCGAAGAGTAACATTAATTGATCGGAAGTTAGATTTCAGGATCAACGAACGATTGTTGTCCCACTATGGAGACGTGTAATACATGATTCCACACATCACACTACTTATTTGTCGACCTCCAATACTAATCATCTTATAGGAAATTTGTTGGCTGCATTTATAAAAACCCCTTCAAAATTGAAATAATTTAATGTGAATTATCTGATCAAGTATGTGAATCCATCGATTAAAAAAATTGGATTATCTATTTTTTCTTTTTTGGAGCCACATATCTTTCCAATAAAATCATACAATGAAAGGACATATTTACCCTTCTTATATAACCTCCCTTGATTAAACCCATGTTTGACTAACGCTTATAAATTGTTCGTGAATATGCAAGTTATTTTTATTAACACGTTTCAAGATACATATAAGTATTATTCTTCGTCTACTATTACTCATTTTTATTTAGTTATAATTTAAATAATCTATAAACACTTCATACAAGTTATTATATATCATATCTTATCCGAAAATTTTTAAGTGTAAATTATTGTAAATGTCTTCAATCTTTTCATTATTTTTGTTTGGTACTCAACATTCTTTTTCAACTTCTGCGTTGTCAACCTTTAATAAATTACTGACATTCAGCCAAATGAATGGATTCTGTCCATCAAATTCAAAAGCGTAAAATGGTCATATCACTATTTTTAATAATATCATTAAAAAATTTTAAAAAAAAAATCATCAAATAGAGATCGATCCTTAAAAATTCGTAATGAGGTAACGTTCACACAATCACAAAGGTAACGTTTTGGGGGAAAAAAAATAAAGAAAACCTTGATAAATTAATTTTTTATTAATTAATGTATAGATTAATAAATTATTAATTTATTGATTAAATAATAATTTTTCACGATCCCAATAGGCAATAGCATTAATTTATGGGATAATTGCCGACAGAACCTCAAATCTTTTAAAACGTTGCAAGTCTTTTTCCTAATATTTCATTTGTTGCACTCATGGGCCTAGACATTTCAAACGTGCGTGTTAGAAGCCCAAATATCTGTTAGTCGACCAAAAAATTTAAATTTTACCACATTTTTAATATTTTTAAAGATAGGCAAAGTACTAACTTTATATTTATCACACTAAACAATTAAAATAATTTAAAAAAAAAAAAGAAAAGAAAAAGAATAACCCCAAACCAAAGAAAAGTCGCCCTTCAGTTGCCGAAACCACTGCCTATCGGCCACCCTTTCTCGTCACCACGTCGCAATCGGCCCCACCACAACCTATAGTCGACAATCACCATGTTTTTCTCGTTTCTCTATCTTTTTTCCTCTTTGTTTTTCGTATTTTTCTTCTTCTTCAACAAAATGCATTTTCAGATCATCTCCATTCGATCCCATACAAACCCCTATGTTTTTCTATCCTACATCTTATGGATATCATAAATAGGACATTCTTCCGGTACGTTCATCCTGCAATTCTCCCATTCTCTTCTCGGGTAAAGGGGAAAATCGATTAATGTTTCATCATAATGCTCGTTGGCTTTCAATTCTACTATGATTTTTGAATTATGGATTTTCGCATTTTGCTAGATTATTGGGAGGTTATTAACAAACTTTTGATTGAATGGTCTTATATAGGAAGAGTTACCTTATACAATTGTGGTATCAATCTAAATATGGTAGATATAATTAATCTGAATATAGTAATTACAATTATATGCATAATTAAATTAAATCATAATCTTTGTCAATCTTCATTATCTTTGTCGATCTCATTGAAATCTCCCCTCAATGGATGCTGGATAATCAAGAATAATCAATTTGTTAACTGATGTGCAAATGAACTCAAAGGCCTAAATTCAACGGACGGTCTAAAATAACCACACGCACAACCCATTCACCCTTCCAAAATTGAAAGTCCCATCTCAATGAGTAATCTTCAATTTAGCATAATAGACTAGTCGTAGACAAGTGCATTGCGCGAATATTGTATTTGTTGTTAGAAATTATAGATGTTAAAAAAAAGTAGTTTCAAATTTATTGGATTATTCAAGAGTCTTGAGCGTATATTATTGTGTTGCTCATGCTCCATCAAACATACCATATCCAATATGTAACTTACCAAATTTTTTTTATATAACAGAAATACCTAAACCCTGAGTTGTCGTTTCTCTCCCAAGAATCATCCGCCCCAAGACTCCTCCTTCATCTGAGCTCCTCCGAGTCATCTTTTCGATCCATTTTAACCCAAACCCGGGAACCCGCCATGGCATACGCTCGAGATCCGAATAGCGACGAAAACGATTCAAATCGCCGACTTTACAATCCGTATCAAGATTTACAAGTCCCGACCAAGATGCTATACAAGCTCCCCACCTCCCCGGAGTTTCTCTTCCCTGAGGAATCACGCGCGCAGCGCCGCTCCTGGGGCGAAAATCTCACCTACTATACCGGCATAGGTTATTTAGCCGGCTCCTCCGCCGGTGCCGCCAAGGGCTTTAAATCCGGCATCAAGTCCATCGAGGCTACCGACACAATGAAGCTAAGAATCAACCGGATCCTCAACGGGTCGGGTCACACCGGACGCCAGATCGGGAACCGGTGTGGAATCATTGGCCTTCTCTATGCAGGACTCGAGAGCGGCGTAGTGCATTTTAGGGATAGTGATGATGTTATCAGTAGTTTGGTGGCTGGGCTGGGCACGGGTGTGCTCTACAAGGCTGCGTCTGGGCCGAGGTCTGCGGCTGTGGGTGGGGCAATTGGTGGTGTTCTCGTTGGGCTCGCGATTGCTGGGAAGCAGGCATTGAAACGATACGTGCCCATTTGAACAATTTAAGCTTTTATCTTGCATTGCTTTAGTTTTGTTCCGTGGTTTTGATTATTACTTTATCAATTCATTAACAGTATACCTACTATCAGTGCTCAGAGGTGCAATTTTGATTATGCAACCGAATTATGGTTAATTTTCTTTATACTCTTCCATGGTATTTCGTCATATGTAATTTTACATAGTTTGTAGAAGAAATTGGTTGGGAATAAATTCAGAGAATTTTCTATCATGTGTGTCTTTTTTGCCTCTAATTACAATTGCATATACCACTTTTGCCATTGGAAAGTTTAACTTGCGCGTAAATATAACCTCCTGTATGATTTGCACTAACTTTTAGCTTCTCTGTAATGATATAATGCAAAAATATTTTTCGTCGTATGTCAACTTTTCTGTGTTAGAATTATAGTTGTAGCTTTCAGTGTGTAAAAGGATCGGGTGTGAATGTGTGATGTGTTGGATTGAAATGAATTTATGATAGATTGCTCACAGTGGTACAGACTTCTAGCCTTATAGGGCTATGACTTTGAAGTAATTGCTATACTCATAATGTTTTGACTTTGAAGCTGCTTGTGGGTGTTGACCCTGTCCAGGCCAACAACTCTCTCGTGTGTTGACTGACCGGTCTGCTATGTGCATATTTATTTCACCTTAACGGGCTTTATATATGTTGTTTGCACTGTACTTGCAGTTCCTGTGTGTATTAATGGTTTTTTTATAAGCACGCTTTAAGAGATTAACTAGTTTTGTTTAGTTAAAAATCAGATTTTTAGTAGATTTTAATAAAAGTTGACGATCTCATAAAATGTGTGGTTGAAAATAAGTTTGCGGAAAAGTGAGTTCTAGAAAATGGGGCCAAACAGGGGCTACAGCATTTCCAATAGACTCTTTGTTTATAAAAAGTATTTTATGCATTATATAGAGCATTTATAAATTTAGAGAGTCAATTTTTTTATGCACTCCAAAATGCTCTCTATTTTGGCTCTTCATTTTACTTTTTTTAAGAAACAATTATTGATTTCTCCTCATATTTTATTTAACATAATTTCCAATCAATTTAAATGTGGTTTGAATAGTTTAAGAAGTAGAGTATTGAAATCTGTGACTTATTAAATACAATAATTGTACATTAAGAATAGAGAATGAGTTTGATTATCTAAATTTGGATAGTCAAATCCACCCCCTATTTTATAAAGTTAAATACAGTCTCTTGGAGCTTTGTTTAAGTATTATCTCTTTAAAATAAAGTGTATTTTGTATTTTGATACTTGATAGGCTAAGTATAACTAATCTAAATTTACCTGTATTTCATGGTTTGACGTGCTCGTGTTAGAGTTCAACATCTACACTTACGCATCTGGTGAGATCAGAGTTTTATTATAGCTGTTAGTTTAGTTTTATTTGAATCAAGATCTTGTGAAAAGACTTCAGTGACACTTGTGCGCAAATTCTTGATACATCCCATTGAAAAGCAATGGTAATGCTGAAATACCATTCAAGTCATCTTTGAATACTAGAAATGAATAATCAGTGTGAAAAGATGATATTCAGGATAGTGCATTGTCCCGTTGAAATGTAATGGTTCTTCGCCCTATGGGATAAATGGCGAGTATTTTTTACCATGGCTGCTGATTTTGCAGCTATTCTTGAACGAATTTAGAGAAAACTCGTCTTTGTGATTAAATCATCCATAAGGGGTATTGTTGAATGTTACTTTCTTGATGTGTTCTCTTGTAAGGTGATTTTTCTTTACCTCTCTGTTGATGATATATTTATTTTCTGTCGTATGAAACTGCAATATTCATTATGCTAGTGCCCCATTAACATTGTTGCAATGAAATTCTATCACATCATCTGTTGACAAAATATATAACAAAATCTAGATATAGCTTCATTATTCCCTTTACCACTTTATTTGTTGATATTTGACAAATATATAGCCTGAGATATCCATTCCACATCTGCGTACTTCTAGTTAACTGTATTAAGTTTTGTGACAAGATTTCAGCTGATTGCCTGAATATAAAAGGCGTAAACTTTTAATTGTGCATCTGATTTGAGTTACTTGAGTTGGTGCTCGTTGCAGTTGACTATATGCAGGTTTAACTAACTTGAGCAGTTGAAGTTTAGTCATTTGTTACTGTGTAGTCGTACACAGTGGCAGATCCAGCACTTGGCGAGGTGGGGTGGCCGCCCTCGCTGGATCCGTCGAGATTTACAAGTTGGATTTGGAGAGAGGCTGTGTTGGCGTTGCAGACTTGTGTTTGCCATTGTTGCAGGGAAGCTTGGAGCTTGGAGGGAGGAAGATGATGATTGTTACTGGGGCCAATTTTTTTAAAAAAATTTGTGGACCGTTTATTTTTGACCTTTTTTATTAATTAATATTATGAATTGACAATAAGTTAAAACGTAATCAGTCTTCTCTCTTGTTGTCACTTCTCCCAAACCGACAATTGCAAACCCCGTTCGGCCCCCAAATCTAAACTTGTGGTGAGCAATGAACTCTCCAGCAAGTACGTGAACAACTGGTGCATCGTCATCCTCCGCCAAACGGCCATTGTCTTCGCCCCACCCTACCCTATTTCCGTCAGCGACTTAGTTTTTGGATTGTGGGTGACTCCTATTCTTATCCGATCCTTTTATTTTTTATTTTGATAAATGATTTAAAGATTATTGATTTGTGATTTACATATATTGAATTGGTGATTTACAAATTTTACAGATTATATTAAATAGGTGATTCAAAGATTTTTGATTTATATATATTTATTTGTGATTTTTATATGTTAAATTGGTGATTTCCAGATTTGGGATTTATATATATTGATTTGTGATGTATATATATTGAATGGGTGATTTATAATTTTATATATTTATGATTTATTTATATTGAATTGGTGATTTAAAGATTCATGATTTATATATGTTGATAAAAGATTATGATCGATTTTTTCAAGCTAAATGAAAGTCTCAACCTATTTCTTATAATATAGGATTGTATTATATTGGATTATATTTTCATATTTATATGATTTTATCTTTTAGTGCATTTATATATTAATTGGAGAATTTTTAATATTATTTAGTTAAATATTAATAAAAGATATCACTATTGCGCATGTCAACGACCGTCCTAGCTCACGACAATTCCTGGATTCGCCACTGGTCGTATAGTTTTCATCACTAACCGTTCTGTGTGTCTATACGTCTTGTTAACCCCTAAAGAACTACTTTAGCAATCTAGCATTTACATGGCGGTTCGTCCAGCAAAATTTTTTTTGAGAAGATAAAGAGTGTTGAAACTTGATGCAACTCCAGCATTCCACTTGGTGTTTATGCTGGAACTATTTGTTGGACAGAAAA